CCCCAAAACCCCAAAACCCCAAAACCCCAAAACCCCAATATTTCCGCTGTGACTGAAACTAATAATGATAAACTCGAATTGGCAGCTTTTTCCTGGAAAATTTCTATTGAACACCATACTCGATCAATCAGTCCAAAAACTCTCTTGTCTCTTTGACGTCTTCCTTCTTCTCAGTATTCTGTATGCGGTAGAGGTCTTTGAGAAGCCTCATCTTGATACCTGCTCCACTGTAGTCGAGCTTCCCGCTGGAATGACTCCTTTTGTCACTCCTGGCTGATTCTATCCGGCTAGAAGGATAATAGGCTGGGTTACCTTATCTCGTTTAGAGGTATAAGCTGCGTCTCTGGTACATCCTCATCGTCTTTAAGGTGTCTAGGGGGTGAGATAAGGTACTTACTCGCTGGTGATCACACCTATCTGCTTTATACGATCATTCTCCTTCTGTAGCTCTTTATTCTGCTTTTCTGGAGGGTTAAGATGGCAAAATACCTATTCTTTCCTTCCTCAACCTTTCTTTCTTGAGCCTTTCTTGACGTAGAAGTTCAATAGGATTAGCGAACAGATTCGGACTCATAGCTTTGGTGATTTGCAGTTCATTGTGAGGCAGATTCTGGTTTGAAGGAAGTTTTGGATTTAACCTTTTGGCTCTATTCACTGTCTGAATTTGCCGAATTATGTTATTCGACTTAAGTGGCTGTATTTCATGATTTTGGTCATTCTTTCAATTGAGTGAATCAGATTCAGTCCCCTTTGGTGTCATCCATGCTGGGGCTTTTGTGGGATTTTTGATTTTTGAACTGGAATTTGTAGTACTGAAATTTTCAGGCTCGAAACTGCTACTTAAGTCTTTTATTCTTGTCTGATATCAGATTGGTTTTGACTAGCTGAGGCTGGGATCAAGAGGCAACCAATTTTCTCTCCTTTCCATTATCATACAACTCAGTAGGGACTGAAGAAGTATAGCCTAGATTGGCTTTACTTCCTGATACTAGAATTCTACAAAAATTACTTTGTTAGCTTACTTCTTATTGCTGAATTCCATTTTAAAGTTAAAATTCTTGTCATCTTGCTTGACCATCTTATACCTAATCCTTCTCTTCTTGAAAGCTGAGGTTTTAGGGATCTTCCTCGTGACGTGGCCCTTATGGTCAACTGTGACTCCATAAGCGGCTCCCACTCTATTAAGGCTATTGAAGATCTTACGGCGTTGTGCCGAGGAGCTCTTAAGAGATAACCTATTGCTATTTTGGCTTGAAGGACTGAAAATCTTCCTGAATTTGCTCTAAACTTAAGAGAAACTCTTACTTATATTATGGGAAGAGATTGGCATCGGAGTAATTGAAGGAGTCGCTGTATCATCACCACTATCTCTTTTTGTAAAAAGTTTGACCCTCCCAAATTGCCTCGTGCTGGCCCTGGTTTTGGAAACCCTGGGGGCAGAAACCCCCTGAGGATTGGAGTCTAGCGGTTTATTGATGATTTTAAATCCCCATTGGTCGGGATTATCCTTTTCTCAGCTCAACGGCATCATATGTATTATATTTTTATTTATTTTCATAAAGTCATGAAAATAGGGGTTTTGGGGTTTTGGGGTTTTGGGGTTTTGGGG